AATTTCAGAAAGAATGGATTCATATGCTCTCAATTCTATGCCAGCATTTGTCAAGTGCTCCATAACTTCAGGTGTTACTTTAGTATCATCTACGAACAATTTTACCCCATCTATCTCCACAACTAAATATGCGTACATGACTGGTGAATGTCGGATATCATTACCTCTCTGGAGACACAATAAATAACTAATCAAATAAGAAACTGAAAGCAATTTAAGTCATCATTCAACGGCAACCCAAAGCATGTAAATACATTTGTTGCGCATCCACAATAAGAAGTTGAAATCTTGACATATGGCTTCCAATGTTATAAATATCCTTGAGAACTAGAAACTAGACCAACTATTGGCAGTTAACAATTAATATTCTTTGAAGAAAGAATATTATTAGCTATTAAATTTACAAAGAATCCATGAACTAACCATTTCTAGGGCCATCATAATAAAACGCTTACTAAAATACATATTGATATGCTAATGTCATCTTTTCAAAGGATTAATAAGTGTGCAGGCAAAAATCAAAAGATCTTGAATGGTCTAAGCTGGGTGCACCATTGTAGTACAATCAAATTATATCAAACATCTTTGCTTCAAATATTAAAATATGCTAACAGATATTTTTTGATAACAACATGCTTAACAGATATATACAATACATAATCACAAAAATTCCCATACAGTGAATACTGTAAGAGCTGTTCACTGGAAAAAACAAACTTTTAACGCCAAGTTTTAGAAATATTAGATTTGGTAATCAGAATGAAGCTGGTTCCCAGAAATTTTACTAATTAATAGGAGTAGAATTTATTACTAGTCTTATAAACTTATCAAGAGCAAAAATGGAAAATTGATTTAGAGGTTAAGTGTAAAATATTCAAGATATTGTTCTTGAAGCTTTGTCATATGGGAAATTAAGAAAACACAATTTGAAGAGAAAGATAAAGAGACACAGCTTAAAGGATAATTACGCTGAAATGCAACTCATCTGAACTCTGTCTTCAACTGAGTAAGATTATCAGATGTAAGAACTATTGATAGCCGTACATTTTTTCCCCAGTTAACTGGATTAATAACAAATGAGAAGGATAGTTTCTTCCTACCCCTCAGACCAAAAAATCACACACAAGCATGAATCTGGGTTACAAATGATCTCTTTGTGCATATATGATCAAGTAAAACTTAACAAAGATTTTAAAGAAGCGTAAAGAGGATTACCAAGTTCAATAGCCATGCAATTTCGTCAAGCATGGAGATAACAATCGCCGATGCACCAGCATTTCTTAATTCAGATCTCAAGCATGAAAGCTTTGACGACACATTTACACCAGCATATTTTAGGTCATGCAATCTAATTGGTTCCTTTGGAGGATTTGGCCTCGACTCCTTCCAAATTTCATCTACAAGGTTGAAATCATACAAAAAGACCAACTCATGGTTCCCTTTAGAAATGTCTTCTTTGAATTCTTTTGCAGCATCAGATGAAAAAAGAAACTGTTCCCTTCATCAAAACAAAGAGAACTGATATATGAGGAAAGAAAATGCAAGGTTAATTATGATTTAATGGTGTTTAAAGCAAATAGAAAAGTGTTTGCAAGATTGAAAATTTTGAATTTGAACTAGAAGAGGTGAAATAGTAGGCTTCCAATCATCAATAAACACAAGAGTGACCGAATTATAGGCGACGATAACCATAATACAGTAATCAAGTACTAAGACTAACTACAAGTTTCTGGCGAACAACTTTAGGTATCGACCAGATTGGGCCACTTAGCACCATCGCAAAGGTTTCAGAATGGGCTTCACAGTCAAGAGGATAAAAAGTAGACTTTTAAGTTGACTGTCAGTTGTTAGTGCTATGGTATCAAACATATAAGAATATCCCAAAATGGAAGAATTTCATATAAGTTGTGACAAAGGCGGTAACATACGACCAACCAACAACAACTATGCCTCAGACTCAAACAAGTTGAGGTTGGTTATATGAATCCTCAACTCATGTCATCATCATAACAAATAAAATAAAATAGAAGTATTATTAGAGTTCCCTAACAAGTCTAAAACCTATTCTCCAACTAGTAGAGATCACCTTTTGTTGAAACTGTAAGTATCCATTCCTTAGCATTAAGGGCATGATGGAGACCTTCAAAAAGTGTCAAACAGGAACATACCCGCCATATTCCCACAAGTGGGATCTAAGGAGGACGATGTATACGCAGCCTTACCTCTACCTTGTGAAGGGGTAGATATCACCTTTATGGATCTTATTCTTCCTTTCTGCCTATCGTTAGCTAAGTTTGCATTGATTCCAAGGATATGCAGATTTCCTTTTATGTGATTTTAGATCTACTTTGGCAGCCTAACAGTTACTACCATATAACATTACTTTTTATAGATGTTCTATACAACTTCACTACTTAAAATCCAATACTCAGAGTTACACAAATTATGTCAATCACAAACTTTATAATTTTATCTTAGGTCAATTCCAGATAATAAGAAAACAGGGCCATCTAGTAGTTGGGGTCTTGTGAGTGAGACTAAGTCAGTTAAGGGTAAATTTTAAAAGATAAGATCAGAATAATGTGACAATTACTTATCATGGGCTATTGTTTTCATATATACATACAAAAACATCAGAGTTGACAATTTGAATTTGATTTAGCTTAATACTCTATTGAACTTGAAATACGGGTTAAATTTTCAGAATTCTGACTAACCAAGCCCGGAACTTAGAAGGGGTACTCTGATGAATGATACAAGAGGAGAGGGAGGATTCATGCCCATTATCCACACATGAGGATGAACATGAAAATATGTGAACTTGTTGACTCATTGACGAAATGGTCTTGTCTTCCCACAATAAGTAAAACGTATCCTCATTCCAATACTTTATCAAAAAAAAATTCCTCATTCCAATACTTTCTTTTACTGATACTTAAACAAATTCACAAATCTAAAAGCATATTTGAGCATTACTTACAGGATCTATACCGATCCTGCAACCAGGTGCTAGGACAGTGTTAAGCCACTGACTAGGAGTAGGCACCCCCATGTTACCAGCTCTCATCAGATCCCAACTAGAGTTCAACTGCTTCTCAGCCTGTTTACACACACCAAAGAAAAGAAAAACATAATTAGAAGACAGCAGATACACACAAAGGATACTAACCAAACCATTCAGCTTGCTTCCATTGAGAAAATGATCAGTAAAACTAAAGCAACCATGCATACAATACAAACCTGCAAAAAATATCGCCCATCTGTCCACAAGGCTGCTTTATCCTTGGTAACAACCGCAGTGCCTGCACTTCCCGTAAATCCTGATATATAGGTTCTTCGCATATAACATTCGGCAATGAACTCACTCTACAAATCAACACAATTCACATTTAGCATAACTTGTAAAAAGAATTGATAGATAGTTCCATTTCTTGCCTAACTTCCCATCCACATGATACTTCCAGAACTCACTTAATACCTTCCACGAATGTATGATTAACTACCAAGGAATGAAATCAATACTAACAAGTTCACTTCACATCACACCATATCACTGCATCAAGTGATCAATTCAAATAAGTGAAGTGTTGCTTCAATTAGTAAGTAAATCATAACCTAAACAGGCGATTCTGTTAGAAACAGAGAATCTTAGCAAAACAACTACATTATAAAGAACAGATTCTGCTATTCAGCGGGAACTAATACCAATAATAGAAACACTATCTTGAAACTGAATCACCAGACCTACACATAAAAGCATCATCAATACCTCGAAAAAGCAGTAGATTTTCCAAAGAACACTTCAAAAAGGCGAAAATGAATGGGAATTGAAGTCCACTGAAAAAAACAAGCAACAATCTTTACACTAACCACTCAAGAACATACCATTAATACAACCCAACCTCAAAGCAAATCAAGATTACTATCCCAACCCCAAAAAAATAGGATCTTGAATTCAAGAAAATCAAGAATATAAACCTGATGGGCGTCTTGGGAAGGAATAATATAAGCATCAACATTAACACCAGGCCTAGTAAAGATCTCACGAAGAGCACGTAGCTTGTTATCCTGTTCTTTTCCGCTACCCTTTTTCTGAAATTCCCAGGAGGGTTTAGCAGTGATGGAACTGGAACTTCGGACAGTAAGATTTGGAGATTTTGAAAGAAATTTGGGGCAAATTCCGAGTTTGCGGAAAATGGGGAGGGAGAAAGAGAGGAAACGAAAACTTCGAGGTGGATAATGGTGAAGTTTGGAAGAGCAAGTAAGCATGGTGGTGGAAGCTGATAATGAAGAATCCATTGATGGAGAAGAAAGAATGGATAAGAGTATTCACAACTCCAAAGTGTTTGGGCAAAGCTTAAAGGAATCTTGATTTGAGACACTAGTAATATTTCTGTCAGAGTATACTCACTATTGAGATAGTACTTGTTTAAATAGAAATCTAGTTTTAAATAGTACTGTAGTATTTACTTAGGTAAAAATTATTTATATTCATTTTTTTACTAAATTAACTTTAGCAAGTAAATTAGAATATAAATTACTTAACACGATTGAGTGATAAGTGTATTATTGGATTGATTTGCTCTAAATATCGTGAGCTACAAGTGTATTATTAGGTTGATTTATTGTAAATATAAGTGTATTATTAGATTGATTTATTGTAAATATTGTTTATAAGAATCAAGAACATATGCTTAAATTAATGAAGAATAATTTGGTAAGAAATTTACTTTGAAAAATATATTTTTAGGTTTTCACTCATTAAAAAAAAAAAGTAAAATTTACAATTTCTTTGTCAAAAAATTTGTTTATGTTATTGTGCATAAATACTTTATTTTGTCAAGTACCTAGAAAAAATTTGCAATGCTTTTAGCTTATAGAAAACTTAATCAAATAAATTATTAAAATATTTTTAAATCCAAGAAGAAAAATATTTTCAAGTTTATAACTTACAAGAAACTTGGACAGAGTGGAAAAAAATATTTTAGCTCAAATCATTACTTAAAAATATTTCTCTTTTAAGGTGCTCTGCTCTCTGGTCTCTGTCTCCATTATTCTTCAGCTGATTTGCCATCATTACACAGTACATATACTATTTTACAGCTAAAACCACCTTTGAAATCACAAAAAAGCTGCTTTTTACACTATCCTTTTTGCTTTTATCACGCTTGTTGATCTCCATTGCAAATCTTGAAATTACACTCTTCTTCTTGCTGCTACCTCTCAGTTCTACTCATCAACAATGGCAATCATAACTGAAGAACCAGACTCCCGAAGTCCACTGAAACAACGAAAACCCCTTAAACCCACGTCAAAACCTTCTCAATCAACCTCCCCAAAACCCATTAAATCCACCAAAACTACAAATGCGACAAACCCATTTCATTTCTGGTTCTATTTCACCATTTCAGTCTCTCTTGTAACCCTCATATTCATGATTTTCACTTCTCTTTACCCGCAAGACCCTAAAACATGGTTTCTTAGCCTGCCCCTAAATCTACGACAACACTACGCTAAAGGGCGAAATATCAAAGTTCAAACAGCTCCTAACCAGCAACAAATTGAAGTTTTTGCTATCCAAGAAGGACCATCAAAGTCTTCTGATCAGGTACTTATTGTACATGGACTAGGATGTAGCTCTTTTGCGTTTCAAAAAGTTGTGAATTTTTTGGGTGTTAGAGGTGTTCATGCTGTTGCTATCGATCTGCCTGGTTCTGGGTTTTCGGATAAGACGATGGTTGTGGAGGAAGAGCATGTGGATGATGGGGTTCTAGGGAGGCTTAAGGATATGTATAATGAAATTCAAGAAAAGGGTATATTTTGGGGGTTTGATCAACTTGTTGAGCAGGGGTATGTGAACTATGAGGAAAATAAAATCCGGGTTTCGAAAAGAAATGTTGTTAAGGCTGTTGATTTGGGTCCTGAAGAGATTGGAAAAGTGTTGGGGCAAGTGATTGATACAATGGGATTGTCACCTGTGGATTTGGTTTTGCATGATTCAGCATTGGGTTTGACTGCTAATTGGGTTTCGGAGAACCGTGGATTGCTTAGAAGTGTGGTGGTTCTAGATAGTGCGCCGACTGGAACAGCATTGCCATTATGGGTGTTGGAAATGCCAGTGTTAAGGGATGCTGTTTTGGGATTGGGATTTGCTTTTAGGAGATTACTTGGAACGTGCTGTTCTAGATCGGTTGGTAACTTGGAGGCTGAGGGTCATAGGATTCTTTTGAAGGGAAAGGATGGAAGAAGAGCTGTTGTAGGGATGGGGAAGAGCCTGAATTGTAGTTTTGATTTGAATGAATGGGCTGCTTTGGATGGAGTGAAAGGGCTACCAATGCAAGTAATTTGGTCTGATGCCTTGTCCAAGGAGTGGACCGAGGAGGGACGTCAAGTTGCTGATGCAATCCCTCAGGCAAAATTTGTCAGTCATTCTGGTGGGAGATGGCCCCAGGTGAGGATCAAGAACATGGATATTCATTTTTATTTTGACTGAAAATGTTAATTTCCTATAAGTTTGAATCTGTTTTAGAGAGTATCAAAGAGATGCGATTTCGATGATACTATTTTAACTTGCTGCCTGCTTGATGTACTAAAAGTCATAGGTTCTAGTTAAGATACCACTATGAGGCTCCCCAGACATGAAAGGGTAGGCATATCTGATAGGTTTTTTCTAATATACATGCTAAAGCAATTAGTTTTATCTTGAAAATTCTGATGAGACAGCATAGAGCAATTGAATAATAACTCCAAATAATTTTCTGCTTGTGAAGTTCAGTTACTTAAATTTTTCTTGACACCAAACTCTAGAAGAAGACTTAAAATATTGAAATTGTGTCTCGAGGCCAAATGGATAAAGCAGATATGTAAGCATTAAAAGGTCCTTTTTGTTTCACTTGTATTTTTTATGTAATGAGAGAATACCAGGCTGTGATAAAAGCAGCAGACGCAAGAAAAAAAAGACCTTAATTACTAACTGGATGATCTGGTGCTACCTTTTCCCCTTGTCGAATAACAATATAAATTCCATAGGTGCTCATGCCTTCAAGCTGAATCCTCCTTGATTCTAGAACTGTGTTTGACCATGCCATCCTTAATTAATACTATGATGTTATTCATGCTGTAATGACTGACTCTGTTCTCCATTCATGTAATTGCATAATTGTTTGTCATATAACTGAAGTTAGTCTCTTTTTTTGAAAGTTAAAGTTCATAATTCGGCCTACATGGCCGCTTTCTCACGGATGTATTCCGGTCATGCTTGCTTAACGATTTCCACTTGTAATCTACAGTAGACACGGTTTACTATCAAAAAGGAAAATGAAAACAGGGGATTCCATGCTTTATTCCTTAATGGTAGCTTTGAATGGTTATAGTCTTATAGTCCACCCAACCTCATTTGCAGATCAATTCATGAATACTTGGAACTGCACATGAAAGACAGCCAGATCTTCTTTATGAATTTAACAGTCTCTTCATAGTTTTGACATGGTGTCCATCTGATAAGTTTTTACGGCTGAGCTTTAAACTTTCCAAACAATGGTTGTCTGTCTTGGATAGAAAATATTTGAAGAATTTAAGTCTTTCCTATATAGTCACCTCTTATATCCTCTTTAGATACATGCAATTTGCAATCTTATATACCTATCTGGATGGTGGGGTTGGGTAATGATCATGATGCGCTTTTCTTGTTTCTACCTGATTATAAAAGAGTAGCCTTATCTGTTGGTATAGTAGTTTGCCTAGACCACTTTTGTGCAACAATGATGTGAGCACTGATCCATCAGTTGCATGCTCTGGATGTTTATTAACGGAAAGGAACTTGAATAATTTTCAAAAGCTTTTCTTTACTTGATTTATATGTATTCCTCTTAATAGCTAAGGCTCACCATTTTTTCCTTTAAAGTTGTAATTGTACTGCCCTACATACGGTATAGGTGCACTTACTCAACAAAACAAAAAGAGCATATGCTATAGCCTATAGGGCTAATTTCTTTTCGACAGTAGACATACTAATGAATTATTTATCTATGTTGCTTGAAGATGATCTAAAACATCTTTTTTGCTGATTTTTAGGAGCATAATTCTGAGGAGATAGCTGAAAGTATCTATCAATTTGTTTCCTCCTTGCCGAAGAATGTGAAACAAACTGAAGAACCTGTACCTGAACATGTCCAGAAGATGTTTGATGAAGTGAAGAGTGGCGATCACCACCACCACCACGGTCATGATAGCCATGGCCACGAGCATGATCATGGTCATGGACATGCTCATGCCGGATATATGGATGCATATGGGCTTGGTCAAGAGTGGGCCATGTGATTTGCTTTCTAGAATATGTACTCTCTTGATTGCTTTCCAAGTTTTAAGACTAGACTAGTATCATACCCTTAAATTCCTCTCTTTTCCCCCCCTCTAGCTGCAGTTTCATAGTGGTGACTGCTCAGAGCTTTTCTGCTATCTAATTTTTGCTATTGTACTAGTGTTGACACTATGTATCAGATCAAGCCAAGAGTTGTAATGTAGTTTGAGGTGTAGTCAGACTGATGCTGGCTGCTTCACACAAATCTTTGAAATACATGTCTCTCTTTGTAAAATCTAAGATGCAATACTTGTATACTTCACTATGTCCTGTTTCAGCTTTCCACCATCCATCTAAAGCATCGAAGGTGAACTCAACCATTCACATTTCATTCTTGAGTCTATCGACTATTAGGGTGCATTTGGCACGGAGGAAAATGTTTCCAATTTTTTCATGTTTGATTGGTCAATATATTTTGTTGAAAAAGATTTCTTTAAAATGAGGAACATGACTTCCTAATAGAAGTAAAGAAAACAAGTTTCAATTGACATTCTAAGTTCATTGCCTCCGCCTCCTTTCCATCACCTAGTGCTATCAACTCCCACCCCTTGACCATTTGATTGGGATAAAACATTTTCCTGAAAAATGGAAAGGAATTATCACGTGAAAATTAAACACTCACCAATAACGTGGGAGTTCAGATAGCCTACAAGTGAGTTACTAAGATTCTCTAATCCTACTTTTATCTTTTCCAATATATAAATTCCCTCTTTTACAATTTCTTCAAAACCCACCCGCGGCTTAAGTTAGTCCACGCAATATACAAATATGCCGTATGCGCACTAACACCACTGCTATCATCATCTAGCGATGGGATGTTGCTGTGATGATGACGAACAGCTTCTCCAACCACTGAATCCTTCCGAAATCCAAAATTCAGATCAAATTCCGCCGTCGGCATCTTCCACCACCGTCGTACACGGCGGAGAAGCCGTGATATCCCCGATGAATTCTCACTTTTCAGCCTTGATATGCCACGATACTCTACGCGCCATCCTCGAGAAACTTGCTCTCCCTGACTTGGCGCGTGCTGCGTGTGTGAGTAGAATCTGGAACTTTGTGGCCTCCGATCGTGAACTGCAGACGAAGGCATTTAAGGATCCTTGGAAGATCAAGGACGTCATAGGCGATCCTTCCTCCGGCAGCTTCTGGAGAGATAACAGCCTTTCAAAATTTGCCATTTCTCATCGCATCGTCCGTGGTGATAGTGTTGCTAGCCTCGCCGTCAAGTACTCCGTCCATGTATACTCCCTCTCTCTCTCTCTATACATATGTGTCATGTCATGTGTGTGAATGTTATGTATGTATCCGTATATTTTTTTTTAACCATTTGAAGGAGTCATTTTTTATCTTCAATTCAAGGTCCTATTTTGCTTTCTAAGTTTAAGGTGAATGATAAAAAAAGCTGTTGGAAAAACTGGTGAACGCATGAACATTAGAGAAGAAAAAAGCACATTTTAAGTGTATGTTTTAGCTTGCCAATCACTAAGTTTGCAGGGCACATTTGCAGTTGGGAATTTCGAAGGAACCATGTCTGGAAAAAGCAGATAATAGGCCGAAAACATATACTTATCTCACCTCTCTGTAAGTTATAATGTGTTAGACAAGCCCCAAATGTAGCTATCCGTGTAAAGGAAGCACCTTGAAGGAGATTTATGCTAAACTTTCTAGGCCAATGAGATCACTGTGCCTTCCTATACCCGAGTTTCTTAGTAGCATATCATAGCAGGACTTAACAGTGAATAATGAATTGTACATCCTTCCCACCCTAATGATTCAGGATATGGTTTTAATTCACTGTTAGTCTCTCTGTGAGAAAATTTGAGTTAGTCTAATCCAAATTCCCAGTCTTGCAGTCTCCTTCAGAATTTGATGCTCCAAAACTGCCCGCGATCTGCAAAATATGCATCTTTGTTGATGTCTATGGTAAATAAATGTGGGAACCTGTCTCTAAATGTTTCTTGTGCCTTCTGTCTTGCCAAAACTTCTTCTTTCTGCAATGTACCTTTAACTTAACCAAGCTCCGTAGAACTCATCCCATAAGTTCCTATTAGTATGTTCTATGATTCTGCCCAATATGATGTATTTTGCTGGCTCTGTACACATTTCGGCATTTTGGCTATGTAGCTGGAAGTTCCACTATGCAGTCTAATGTACTGGACAGTGGCACCTCCAGTAACTGGGAATAGGAGAGCCTTTTGTTTATGCAGACCAGATTTAACCTCAAATGTCACTAGCACTACTACTCTGTAGGGGATCGCCAAGTGGGGATCCCAGGTTCGAGTCCTAACTACAACACTTGATGTGAATATGCTCCAATCTTGGTGGGACCTGGATAGCTTGTGATTGTGGGATGGATAAGCTACCCTGTGAATTAGTGAAAGTGCACAAAATTGGCCCAAATACTATCGACATGAGATAAGAAATCATTCCTTTACACTACGTTCGAATTTATTAGTTGCTTCTCCTTAGCTCCACCCAATCAATGTATCATCAACATATAACATGTGGGATACACCTGTGTAATTATTGTTTTCACTAATAGGCTCAAAACATAATGGATAAGATTGGCAATAAGCTACAAGGCACTAGAAGCAGCATTGTAAATAATTATAGAGGCCTTTATTTTAGATATTATTACAATTTTCAGTGGACAAGCTATAACTTTGATCTTATTCTCTTAAACTAATATGTTTGTGCTGCTAAATGATGTGGGTTTCTGGCTTCTCTAAGAAGCAATTTTGTTAAGAATTTCCTTTAATTGGCAGGTCATGGGTATAAAACGCTTGAACAATATGATGAGTGACCATGGTATATACTCGAGGGACAGGTTACTCATTCCTATTAGCAATCCAGACTGCCTCATCAACGGCACTTGCTATATAGAGCTGGATATATATGCAAAAAGGGAAGTGGCAGTTTTGTATCTTGACGGTGGCCCTGATCCAAAGCTCACCACAATGTTAAATAGATTGACCTCAGAGAGAAGCAAGAAAAGGGTGATAGACTCCCTACGGAGAAGCATGCAAGTTGATGGTGAAACTGCCCAATATTACTTTGCAGTATCAGATGGTGACCCCCGATCTGCTTTCTCACAATTCTCGGAGGATCTGAAGTGGGAGAGGGAGGCAGGGTTGACTTAAGCTTGCACATGTCGAAAGGGTCATCCTGGTAAGATGTGTGAATGTAGGGAAGTTCCTGGTAATGAGACTAGTGACGAAGGATGTGAGGTCACAATGAGTTGCTCCCGCATCACCCATCTGGTTGCTTGCCTGTAATGGTAGGTCTGCTTCAATAATGATCCTTCCTTGAAGTGATAGGAGGAAATGAATCTATCTATTAGAATTGCTGTTGCTGTCAGCATAGCAAGTACATATAGTTTATTCACATTGTACTATGTATAGTCAGATACATTGTGTTTTAGTGCTTGTATGACTGTTGAATTCCATCTGTATTCATGTAAAATGTACACCTAAATGAATGAAAACTTGTATTATCAGTAACTTGTGGAGACATATGGTATGTCAATCTTCTGTGCAACAAAAACTGGACGACACATTCACCTGATAACTCTTGGATGTAACCACAGCACTTTCTTACTGCTGCTTTTGATGTCAATAATGCTTACCATTTCACAAGAGAACTGCACGAGACATTCAGGTTCCATGGGGACTATTCCTCAATTCTCTTATATGAGCAAACATTTATTGCAATATTGAAACCAATAGATTGTTAAAACAGTACTAAAGCATGTATAACACTGCATAATGTGAAACACCGATCTGATTCTGAGATGATATCACAAGCACTGCAACAGAAATATTACACAAAAAAAAAAAAAACTGATTTCAAGAAAATAAAATTAAAGAGCTTTGATTTAGTGGCAAGAGCTCAACTGTAATGTGTAGATTAGATGCATGTCACAAACTGAAGTCTTATGGCAAATAAAAATTATAGTATCATATAAGATGATCCTTTCCGAACTGATTTGTTTCGTCATTGAATTATGATTCACGTACATGGTGTATTTTTGGTGTATAAAGGAAGTAGGGGCTGAGGACATAAAAAGAAGCCTCTCCCTCTTGTATGCGGTGAACTTCCAATACAATAATCAGATTATGGCACTTCAAAAACGTACACCACAATCTATTACCAGCTGCTAAAAAGGATCATTTTTTTAATGAACTAGCAGCAACTAAATCGGAACCTTCCTACTGAACTACTATGAATATGTCATTCCCTGGCACGATTATTTTCAAGTGCAGCGAGCTCCTTTTCTTGTTGCTCTCTAAGATAGCCCTTGGCAGTTGTATTTACAATCTTGGCTGAGAAGTTCAACAGCATGAGCCATACAACAGTGTTCCACACTGAACCAAGCGAAAGATCCCACTTTTTTGCCTGCAGCAGAACATAGGCTTTTAGATCATAAAGAGATTATGTCGTGACTCGTGTATGCTTGTACGGTCATAAATTACTTATTTGTTCAACACATAACAGTTGGCATCCTTGTATAAAACAGGCTCTCTAGACACAATGAGGTTGACGGGTCATGGAAGGTTTACATACCATATAAGGTCACATTAGTGGTATAGATCATTAGCCAAGGAGATCTTAGGTGACAAGTTACGGGTGTGAACAGAGACTCTGATTAGTAGTTTTATTTAGTTAAAAGTTTATTATTGTATGCCAAGTTGAAGAGGCTCTCAGACGGTGAAACAGCATTTTTTTTCTCCTCAGATGATACAAATACCTTTGGCATAAACATGGTACTATAAGGCTTAGCCTTTTTTTTTCTTTTTTCTGACAAGTTAAAAGGCTTATGCTATATTTTGATGCATGCCAACTAGATGATAGCTAAGTTTCTTTGTACCAAACCTTCTACACCTATAAAGCAACAGTTAAGTTCCAGATACATTACAGCTTAGAAGGCGAAAGGACTAAAGTTACCTTTAGCATAGAAAAAAGCATGCATGAAACAGTAAGCATTACATTTACATTTATTTTTCTTTCCTTATGAGTCAAGTGTAATACCTTAACACTAGACACTGGAGGGGATGCTACCATGTACTTCTCTCTAGCGGTGTGTAGTTTGGAAATGATGTTTGGCAGGAACGAGGCAACTCCAGGAATGAGACCAAGCACCCGAACTGATTGATTTTCTATCAAGTCCAACAGTTGATTGTTGCAAACTGAAATAATAAATGCCGTCTGCAAAGTAACTTTATCAAATCAACGACCAAAATTTAACATGTCATAGAAATTGAAGCTAGCTACTGTTTGTTGTTTTCTGTTTTTTTTTTATAGCCGTGATATTTGGGCCAGCTTTCGCCTCGACTAATTCCACGGGACACCTGCCACCTCCCCCCACCATCAACAGGTACTAGGTAACTCTGTCTATCAAGACTAGGACAAATGGGGAGAAGTCATCTATTGTTTTTGTCTTTGCTGGGATTTGATTATGAGACCTCATAGGTCTCAACCCACTTCATTGACCAGTCACTAGGCCACAACCCTGGGTGCTTGTTTTTCTGTTCTTTGACATCCTCTTTGTTTGGCTCTTGACCAAAAGCGAAGAGCAATTACTCTAAGATGCTCCAAAAAGCACTCAGAATTCACACATGATTGTAGGTAAAGTTTGTCAAAATCAATCCAATTAACAGTGTATAATAGTGATGTCAATTTGTAGACAGGGTGTTTTCACGGTTTATTTAGAGTCTCAACATCCTGCATTTAATCACAGGCAATGTGCAGTATCTGATGATTCTTATGCCATGAAGAGGGAGAATAAGAGTAAGGGACGGACTGAAGAACAGGCAGGCTGAACACTGGTGGAGGGAAGTGAGAATAAACATGAGGGAGAAGAAAGCAGAAGCTGGAGAGCCAGGTAGTTGTATATCCACCTGTCTTATACCTTAAAAACATCGTAAGTAAACTTAACAAAAGAAGTTTGCAAACATGTTTGGCTAGCGTTCAAATACTTATACCAGGGAAGCATTGACAGCTTAACAACAAATGATAACATTTAGCAGCTCACATGGCGGCATAGGAAAGGCTTCAATTGGGGGTTTTGAAACTCTAGCAGAAGTTGTTTGGTGGATCCTTTTTAAGGAAAGAAATGCTAGAGCTTTTGAGAATAAGAAATGACAATATATTTTTTTTACTTTTTTGATGGGTAGAACAAGAATGACAATATTGTAGAGATCTTAAGAGACAATTTTATATCTTTGCTTGTTTTTGGTGCAATGTGGACAAGAACAATCTGTTAAGAGGCCTAAGACATGATTAACTTCCATAGCTTTCCACACGATCTGTAAGAATCTCTTTCTTTCAAATGTACTTTTGTTCAGCATTTTCTTTTTCCCGACTTATATCAGTTAAAAAAGATAACATTTGGTAGATGCAGACCTGTATGTGAGTCTTAATAATTGCCTTCCCGATCAGAGTTGCTGTAAAGAATTTCCAAAATGGAATACCAAATTGCCCACACATGATACCAGCAAGGTCAAACAGAGGATTTGGCACCTTCACAGCAAACAAAGAGAACACTTAATAGGTTATCGACACAAACATAAAGGTGTATGGGCAGTAACAAATGCAACATGCATCAAAAGAAATCCCAAGGGGATGGCCTAGTGGTCAATGAAGTGCGTTGAGAACCATCAGATCTCAAGTTCAAATCCCAGCAGAGAAAAGAAAAAACACTAGGTAATTTCTTCTCATCTGTCCTAGCCTTGGTGGACAGAGGTATCCTATGGAATTAGTCGAGATGCGCACAAGCTCACCACGGTTATCTCCGAATATACATAAGATACTAGAAATTTAACTTCAAACTATTGTCCCCAAAAATACAGAAAAAAGAAACATCAGGAAAGTGAAGAAAACAAAATATATCAAATCTAAATGTTTGTTCTTATTGTTATTAAATTGGAGCAATATAGCAGAGCAAACAGAGACTGTAACAGAGAATATTTCACTATTTACCAGGTGATAAAAATGAGGAAGCAGTCAAGCAGTAAAAGGTTCTTCTTTCTCACTTTTCTTTTTCTGTCCAGGGTGAGGGGGTAAGTGGTCTTGTTCTAGCATAAATTTATGTTGAAAACCCTTAATGAGGGTTGACAAATAAAGCAATGTAGAGACCAAAAGGAGGGATTAAATAGACATAATTTGAAGAAAATCACTAAAGTTGATGACACAAGTCCATAACACTCCATTACAAGGACAAAATAAGGTCCCAGAAAATGTAAGAAGTGAGAGAGGATTTACCGACGCAAGAACCAGAATTGTGAAGAAATTCAAATACTGTCGGTTAGAAAGAAGCCACTTTTTTATCTGTTTTAAGTGGTTGCTGATAATTCCACTATCTTCTTTTGAAGCAGAATCCAAATCTTCCATAAGCTCACCTTCACGACCAGATATACTAGCTGCAATTTTGAAGAGCACGGGAAACATCAGAATTACATAACCTGGATCCGGTCACTCCGCTAGTAATGCATTACCATAAAGCAGTACTGCATAAGATAATAATTAGAACTATACTTCAAAACTTAACGAGTTTTTGTGGATAACTTGAAACATTGCAGAACTGAAAAAAATGCAACAAGTTGAAGAAAGAAAGTTCTATTGCTCTGGAAGAAAGATGGTAAGTGGGCTTAGATAAGGAATGTAGGGGTTATTGTCTATCTCAAACCTTCAGATGAAATAACATTCCAGAGGTATTCATATCTAGAGGAAGGACTCCAAGCAGAAAGACTGAAAATAGAATACTGCTCAAAGAAGATGCCTTGCAGTCCCTATTCGAGTATTATCTTTGCTATGGATGATCACCAGTCGGTGTAATTCCAAGGGGTAGAGGCTAATAAAGAGCTAAAACTTGTAAAGTTTTCAGCAGGCCCTTAGCCAGACATGAAAATATCTCCCAACAGAATGAAAAGGATCAAGGAGGAACATCCAATTCTCTTTCTTTTCCTTTACTATGAAGTAACTATGCTTTGCCCCAAGGACTCCTGGAAGTAAGATCTTTCTAGCCGCTCTTTAGAAATAGGAAAGGTTATAAATAGGGATAATGAGTATGATTGCCAAAAATATTGTTACTGGACTTGTTGTCCCAACAGCATATGAAGAAACAGATCACATATATAAAAATGTCCTGCAAAAACCTTTTATAAAAAAATATCTTGCAATACAATTACTTGGAGTAAATAAATTTCCAGAAGATCAAATGTGATGTAAAGCACCACTGTACAGGAAGAAATCACATTGGTAATACAGCTTACCAGCTCTAGAGATGAAGTAAGGAGGAAGCTCTCCGAGAGCTGTTCCAATACCCCACAATATAGCTTCCAACTGAATCTGGTTTAGTATGCTGGTCAATGGTACCCGTGCACCGGGTAGAGAAAATAATGGTGGGCCAAATTCAGAACAGTCCTTATCCAGCCATGAAGGACCACTTCTTAATTGAATTGTATCATATGGAGCACTTTTTATGTCAACCCTTCCGCAGCTCACAGATTTTATGGTGAATAGAGCAATATGAGGGCCCAAGTACAAGACAAAAGTGTGCAGACCAGAACCTTTAAGAACAAAGAGAGACAAAGATGAGTGAGGAATGACAAAAATATAAGCGAGAGTAAAATAAACTGCAACTGTAACTACCACCAAAGTCACTTCCAGATAAATTCTATAAACAATAAACAAAAAAACTTTCAAATACCAGTGCTGGAGCAGTAATATTCTGTTGAGAGAGATTAGGTTAAGGAACCAGAACTGAAATGACTTAAAAGTCCAAATATGATCTCTCTAATAAAGAAAGCTCATCCAGAAGCATGACCGTTCATGTACAGTAGGATAGTCAGCGCACTCAAAAATATTCTAATATGATGATCCTTATTCTACACCAAACATGATTTTAACAGAGAAAACACCCAAACAGTAAATTCAGTTAAGATGCTTGCTTAATATTATGCCTCAAATATTTAGATTATGAGTGTCCTGCTACATGACTGAATTTGGCAACATTTTGATTATAATGCAAAAGATTCACCAGTTATCTATGTAATAGCATAAGCATGGTCATAAGAAATACTCTAGAAACAGACTAACACATCAAACCTCAAACACTAGCTCCCCCAAGGACTAATAGGATCTCTACAAATACAAAAGCTGGAACTGCTTCAAAATGTGATCAAAAGCTACTCAAGTCCAGTTGCCAATTATTTTCTAATTTTCTGTCATTCATTTACTTTGGACAAAACACAAAAGGAATTCAGATAAAATGCTACATTGAGGAAAATGAGAAAAATATGTATTACATACAATAGTTTGTGCTGCTAGAAATGATCTCATGATGGGTTAAGATAGGGTCAAATAGGACCGTCAGTGACAATCATACCTTAGAAGTGCATAAAACAAATGGGGTTCAGCTAAAATACTGCATTGAAGAAATTAAGAATAATATGTATTACCTACAATAGTCTGTTCCTGCAAGCGATGATCTCATGATTGGTTAAGGAAGGGTCAAATAGGACTACAGGTGACAGCCATACCTTAGTAGTACATTATTAAAGTCCTGTGACTTAAAGACAATGCTATCAGCCAAGCACCCACTTGACAGAGAACATTGAACAGACCTCACGTTTTTATAAGTATACACTGAACAGGTTTCTTTAAATTGTATAACATTATACCAAGAGCAAATGTCCACTCACCCAGGCCAATTGATGAAGCCACACCAAGAACTAGCCACCAGAGTCCAAACCGTAGATACCTGAGAAGCTCCTGAACAGGCTGCAGTGTCTTGAAGAAAAGCAGGCATAGAATTAAAATAAAAGAGTAGAAGGTTAGATGAGCATGCATACAACTCAGGCATGGCAAGGAGGATTGGAAGATAATCCACCAGTGCAGGAATAAAATGTATCAATGGTTGTGTTTCTGGAGCTTCTTTCCTTCAATCACTGGACAACAAACTCCCAAATTTTCAAAGTTTTAAGAGACCAATGGATTGGGAAAGTAAAATTTATTTGCGTAAGCTGATAGATAAAACTTTTATCTACAAATAATATCAATATCATTGGCTACGGCCTAAGAATATTTGCAGCTATTAACTAATGAAGACAAAAGTCTTACAAGCTATTACTGTGATGTTACATTCGGAAAGAAAAATGAAATAGAAAAGATTAACATATAAATCTAATTAAGAAAAGGAACAATTTCAAATTGCTGTTATCAGTTCTTCACTTATTTGTTGAATACTGGATGAAGATCACTCCATGGACATAGAAAGAACTTTCTAATTTAGTAGATTAAGTTTGAAAGAACATGCAATATAGGGAGAGATGCCACGATTCTTAAGAATGTACATCATGCTCAAACAAAGGAAACATAAAATGCTTCATTACTTGCTACCTCCTCTACCTCGCCTTAAAAAAAAGAGAAATAGTGTTCCTTACTTGAGCTATACCCTAAATCCTCTGATTTTAATTCAAAGGATTAACTATCTAAAGAACTTCATGCTAGTATAACAAAAAGAAAATTAAGAAGTTCAAGAGACCCGGATTTAGTAGTAAACATGACAGACTAATGGGATGTTGAAATGTGTTAATAAAGCTCTACAGGTCACATAGTATCCTCCACTATGACGAAATGCATTGTAACACAAGAATACATGACATACCTCCTCATACGCCCTACCACGTGTAAAAAGTAAACTCCCACCTGCAGATGCCAGCAGTATGACCACTAGACAGTTGCACTTCATAGTGTTAACTGAAAATTGGTGAAGACACTTAAGAACAGCTAAACAGAAGAATTTAACTGTCTTTAGTGGCTGATTCGTCAGACTCAAATGCTCCAGCTCCCTATTGTGTTTGTCAAGGAGTCCTGCTGGAATATATAAATCATTTTTCCAAGTTAAAGTCACCATTCGAGATCTTGGTACTATGTATTGATTTTGGGTATCCTACACAAATATACGAGAGACTACATAGACCTTCACATGATAAACCTTTATCAAATCACTAGACACATAGGCTTCACAAGTCGTGTTCTAATATTTATTGGTAATACATTCTACCCAGATTTACCGATTATACTAGAAAAATGAAGTTGAACATGAAGAACAAGATATCACTCTATTACCCTGAAGGAGTTGGCATTGTGGTCAAAGTTCAAAACTAGACCTCCTGAGATTAACTCATACCCAACCCCAGATTAAGCACATCAATTTCCAGAAATATAATATAAGTAAACTCACTACCGATCAGTTAAAATTTCAACTAGACAATTTATACATCCACAATCCATGCCATGATTAAGTATTACTTATTACAAAAATGCTTGACAACATTCAAAATTCAAATAGCTTATGACACCATAAATTCACCTCATTTTCAATAAACTCAAGTAACCACCCACCTCAATTATGTAACACTTTAATTTTTGGGACATCATAAAATAATTGCAACCATTCAATTACTATGCAACTTTAAAGAATTTTTAATTTATTAAACTATTCAGAATTTAAACTTTAAAGTGATGATTCCTCTATCACACTAACTTTTCAACTTACTTTAATAGTTCCTTCTTTTGTCATTAACAAAATATATAAGTCAAATTAACATCTTAAACTTAATACTCTTTCAAACACCTGACTATTATTCATCTTTTCATCAACCAATCTGATGTCAGTGGAAGAAGTTTAGCCCCAGACCAACCCTTCTCCTTTTATTCCCATTCCCAGATACCTCTTAAATAATGCATTAAAAGCCCTTCAGTGTACTTTTTTTCATTATCAGCAACCTTTAGAACAAACATTACTTTATGGATGCACCCAAAAGGAGACAAACAGAAACCATACGAAAAACAATAAAAATTTGAACGAAACCCATGAATGCTAGAGAAGTTTTGCACACCCTCAAACCCCTCAAGAATAAAAAAATCACTAAATATACGGATATCTGCACGCCCAAGAACCCTTACAAAAATTGAAGAAAACCCCAGAAAAAGATAGATAAATATGGACCCGAAAACAGAGGATAAACTGACCAGAAGCAGAGTTGTCAACATGAAGCGGAGAATCAAGAAGTTGTTCTTGCTCTAGAGACCCCATTCAAGAAACTCTGCTATGGCGATGTGAGAAGAAAAGAAGAGAAACTTGAAATTCCAATTTGTAAGGGATGAAGTCGAATTCAATGTACCTCGAAATACGGGATTTATTTAGAGAATATTTATATCTTCTTGGGAAAAACAAAAAGAATCGAATAAGAAAAAAAAAAGAAAAGGAAATAGTACTAATTTTGTTCTTTGCTCGTGGTCGTGGATTTTAATTTGAAAAAAAGAAAAGGACAAAAAAGAAGTTTTCAAATTTTATTATTTTCCAAATGTCTACATTGTTATAGTTATTTCTGTTAAACTATTTTTGAAATTAAATGAACATAAAATCATATAATATAAAAATTGACAACATCTTTGAGTAGGCCGTAGGCGTGTGCAAAAATCCAATCGATCAATAAATTGAACCAACAAAAATGTTATTGGGTCATTGCTATTGGGTTATCGGGTTAACGGATTTTTAATGGTTTTATAAGAAAAATTATTAGGTTATCGATTTTTAATATTGGGTTATTATAACTCATTAAGAGGATCGTAAGTTACTACTATACCCTTCATAAATATTAAATATTAATAATTTAATATAATTAAGAACTATATCGGTATTCTACACTACAGTCTGCACACTTCACACGTCATAGTACTTCCTACTTCACATCAGAAATTTCATATTATGTTTTGGTTGTAGTATGTTATTGTAGCCTTCGTACTACATCTACTCTTTTTATGCAAATTTTCATTATATTTCTTGTTTCACTATATCAAAACATTAATAGTAGTTGATTTGCTTGTCTCACTATATCGTGTCAAATCGTTAGAGAAATGAGAAATCATAAATTTATTTTATGAGTATTTTTTTATTGGGTAAACTGAAAACCGAATCGATAATAACTAAAAATCTATAAACCGAAAACCGATAAAGAATATCTTATTAATTTAGCATATTTAAAAACTGAAAATCAATAGACCGAACCGATAGTATGTAAAACTGACCCTAATGAGAAATATTAAATGCTACTTTTTAACTCTAACGCACTGTATAGTTGGGGGGCTGAAGTTTCAAATTTAAATAGAATGTTGCTTAGATTTTGAACATTAGTTTGTCCTTTTTACGAAGGCAAAAAAAAAGTAGTACTTATTGCTTTATTTAATTGTTTACGCCATATTCACCTCAAGGTCGTACGCATGAATCACCAAGAAAGCAAGAAAATGAAAGCTTGTAGAAAAAGAATTTATTTTTTCCAATATTAAGAATCTTATTTTCATTTAAAAAATTTAAATTTTTTAAAGAAGGAACTTAAGAAAATCGAAAATATTATCGAACAAGATTATTAATAATTAAATACTCACAATGCTTACGTACTATTTTTCTGCATACGCTTTTTTTTTTTTTAGATTCCATTTGTGAGATTATACTAAATATGTCGTATGGTCAACTGATGTTTTTCTGTGGAAAACTTACATATCTATGTTATATTAAAAAAATATTTATCATTTATAACAATAACATCTTTTTCTTCATGTGATACTTATAATACAGTTTTAATGCATAAATTTATTGTCAAACAAGCATAATACATTTTAAAACACTTGTATAACATCCATATTACATACATAATTCATTTTTAATACATAGTAGATTTATCATAATATTACTATGCATTGTTATATATTATAATAAATAAATAAAATATCATTAAAATCAATAATTAAATATCGTTAAAATCAATAATTATTTATTAAAAAATAGTCATCCAAATTTTTTCTTTTTCTTATAAGGTAACTACTCAGTACTATCCACCCTGGCCCAGTGTCATGATGGGCCTAACAGTATGAAAGGCTTCCATATTGGGCCGTACTAGTGAGCTGGACCAGCCACTAGCTTGCACTTGATACAAAGAGCCCAATACATCTTGGGCCCTCTATCATTGGCCCAACACTCACATCCAAAGAGGTGTAAAAACTCGTTTTTATTTGGGAAAAAACAAAATTATGTTGGAGGTTAAATATTATGATTAAGATGTTTCTAATTCAAAATTACAAAAAAGAAAAAATTACAGAAATCCCACCTTTTAGTTTACTTATTACCATTATCCCCTATAAGTTTTACAAATCTCTAAAATCTCTCATTTTTGCGCATCTGATTAGTGTATTAGCGCTTATATTAGTGTATCTCGCGCATCAGATTAATGTATCAGCGCTTATATAATTGTATCCATTTGAGGGATTTCTGTAATTATAAATTTTTAACGAATAGATTGTAATTTTACTTTAAAAGTATGTGATTTCTATAATTTGTCCTAAAAAAAATTGGAGGTCACTCCTCCTTTAAGAAATGTGGAGACAAGTCAACTTTGGCCATTATGGTTGTCTGGTCCCTTTCGATGAAATGTTCATTAAGATATATTAGATCTGACTCGATTATTGATATAGAAAATAGACCAGTGATTCACTATGTTGTATGTCTCTTTCATTTAGTTCTTTTTTGGTTTTAGGACACTATTCCCCGAATTTGATATTGAGTCAGTAATTAAAGTTAATGAATTTTAAACTAGCTAATAACTTGTTTTAGTTATTGAGTTTGTAATTAAATATTTATATTCATATAATAAAATTTCTGATACAAATATATAATGTTTGAGCAAAAATTATTGAATTTTATCAAAACTTGTACTAACATTATAGCCTCCTCATAACTCCACGTGCTTTATTTCTTGCATTATTATTTTTTGTACAAAGTGTATGTGGCGACTTCACATTGTACCATCCCATTTGGTGCAACTTGTGGCTTTGGTCTATCCACAACTAGTCCTTTTCTATGAGCTGGCAGTAATTTATCAACTCTTTATATTATGGTCTAAAGATTTCTTTTGTACTAATTAATAATTTTACGAACAACTATCACAATTTAAAGATCTTGTAAAAAGAAGTTGAATTTTTTTGAGAAAATAATAGTCTAAAATTTTGTTGACATTAGATTATAATTTAATGGTTTGTCATTCCAATGATTATATATTAAGATAGGGCATTTTTTTTCCCCTCTACAATTAGGTTGAATTACTTTTCTGTAATACGGTGAAGCTTCTCGTTTGGAATGTCAATCTAATAATATGTTGGTCCAGTAGTCTCGGCTCGCCATGAACTACTAATAATAACAAAGAAGCAAAAAATTTAAATAAATTTTTTGAGCATGATAGAAAGTAATTCCCTTGTTAGACGATTTAAATAACGGTGAAAAAAATATTTATCTAAATAAGCATTTTTCCTTTTCTACAAGTTGGTAAGCTAACTAAGAAGGAAAAGTCAAAAATCATTTGTGTTGTTAGACGTCTTTATTTGCATGGCGATTTTTGTCAACCATTAGTAAACGTAACATTATTGTATTCATAAATGATTACATTATTATACTTAATGATATTTTTATTGTATATATGCAACTATGCAAAACAATGTCTAAAGATCTCGTCAAAGACTTTTGAGTATAATGGTTAAATGATTCTCTAAGACAATCAACGTCTTATAGAATAAAGGCAAATTTCCAGGCTTGTTTGATTATGTGAGATGAAATCATGATATAAAATTATATTTTAATTTTCAACACAAGATATATTTTAAAATAGAAAAAAAAAGAAAAGGGAGAGGAATTTGACTAGAAAGGCTAAATTCTGCCAATGTAGAAACTAATGTAATATTAGAAAAAATAGGATTCAACTTTACTAGTCCACTGGTTTTTTTGTGGGATACAATTGGCCACATAGACAGCATGGGAAAATTAGTTTGAATGCATTTAGTCACGTCTTCCATAACTAGAGAAAGAGTTATACTCATTCCATCCACTTTTAATTGTCATGATTTTCTTTTTTATAATTAAATTATAAAAACTTTTAATATTTTACGATTTATTTTTTCATCATATTGATATACAAAAATTACAATGTATAGTATTTTTCGAATTAATTTTTGAATATCTAAATCTTTTGTTTAAAATATCAAATTTTATCTTTAAAAATTAATCAAATTGACTTTTAAAAAATATAACACAACAATTAAAGCAGACGGAAGGATTAATATTTACTCCTTACTCCTAGGAAAAAGGGGAAAGTGTGAAAGTTAAGAAGACGATGACAAATGGCTTTTGCAAGTCATAATTGAATGAATATTTTCAGTTAAAATCAATTCTTTAATTAGCAAAATACAGTGACATTTAAGGAAAATTTCTGAAAAGAAAAATATGTTCCTTCCATCCATTTTAATTATCGTTTTAGGTTTAACCAAATATACGATCTCCTGTCCAATGGATGTAGCATCCAGTTGGTCCAATACCCCTTTCATCTGCTACAATCTGTCACATAATGATTTAAGGGTCAATAATTATTTAATCTAAACAATTTTTTAAATTAAAGTTAAACTTCGATATCTTTTTAATATCTTCTTGTTCCATATTAATAACATGTATTTGCTCAATCACTGCTCCGTTTTCTTTATCCGGTGACAAAAATTAATGATATCTTGAATTTTTCCAACATTTTTTCCAAAAATTAATTAATTTCCATCACAAACCCAATTTGTTTCAAATTAAAAACTCAATTATTTTCTTAGATTATATGTATTTGATTTCTAGATATAAAAAAGATTCTCGTAAATAATGAATTTTTTTGATAGTCTTACATGGTGAATATTTAAATTAGCTTAGATTTGATCATTTGAATATCTTCGTATAGCCACTTCAACTAAATTTGACATGTAGGATTTTTTATTTTTTTTTTAAAATAAAAGAAAATGTCAAGATATAAAATAATAAAGGAAAAGGCTCAAATATGCCATCGAACTTTTAGAAAAGGCTCATTTATGCCATCCGTTAAAAGTTTGGCTCATTTATGCCATTACCGTTTAAGAAATGGCTCATTCATGCCATTATTTTTTAACAGTGGTTTTGCAAAACCGTTTTTTACACGTGACCAATTATAATTCGGCCACGTCATTATTTTTTTTATATAAAAAAATGAAATTCTGAACAAAAATTGAATTAAAATAACCCACCCTAAAATTTGGGTGGGTCTTTACTTGGATGGGTTATTTTAATTGAATTTTTGTTCAGAATTATGAATTTTTTTATAAAA